TGTCCAAAAAGGATGCTTTGTTTCAACCCACAGGAATTTTGGCTCAGCATTTCACACTTGGCTACACATTTTGCTATTTGATTGTCACCTTGGACACTATGGATCCCTACTACTATTGGTATCAACAAGTGTTGCAGCAACAGCAGGTGGCGCAGCAGCAAGCCGCTTCCGCGGCTCCTGCCACCTATACCCCATCGGCCACCACAAACGGCCCCATCACTCACGCTCTCCGCGCATCGGCCACCTCCCAACCATACCAACCGGCCACGCAAGATTTCCCCCCTCCTCCTCCACCCCCGTCGCGTCGCACAGACACCCCAACGTCCCCATCACCCAACATGATCGTCCCCCCGCGCCATACCCAGGCTGCATCACCCTCACCACCGGGCACCATCCCTTTCCCTACACCCCCCATACCGGAGACCTGGAAGCAGACAGATGAACACTGGGATGCGAATGACTCCGGCGGCCAGAAGCTTACAAATGCATACAACCATCCGCATGGAGCCGAAACCCGGGCTCCCCACATTCCAGGTTTTCCCCTGGCTCCTAGCATATCACGCCACCTCCGATTCCGATTATACAGCCCGCTCACATTTCGAACGGCAAATTTACCAGCTTGGTGCCCACTCGCTCCATTGCTGAATCCGTCTTTTTGACTCATTTGATTCAGCAGATACGCGAACAACACATTGACCTGGACGCTACAGCAGAGGCCTTACACCGTACAGCCGGCAATGTTCCACCTAGCTGCCAAGACCACCGAAGCCAAGGCATTCATGCAACCCCTCATGGACCTACTGCTCGCTGTCCTCCGAGAACACGCACCAACTCCAGCCGAAGGCAGTGCCATCCGCCAACTTCACACCCGTGAAGCGGAACTTCAGCGCGCCAGAGAGAAACTTGAAGCTCATGGCCTGCATCTTTCCCCCCAACGACCGACCCCCACCGCCGATCAGGTCCACCTCTCCCAACCAGGGGCTCCCCCAGCATGGCGGCTCCTGCCCGCCCCGCGGACCCGCGGCACCACCTCCAGAGACAGAACCCGAACCATTGACCCTCGCCCAAGTCCTTCAACCAGACCGTCCCTCGCTCGCGACATTGCCAACTGGGTCAAATTCGATGACATCATCCAAGAATCGGCCACCGCCATCATCAAACTTCTCCAAACATCAGGAGCTACGGAAAACCAACTCCAAGAAGCAGCAGTTCGCTATGGTATCCCATTGCTCAAGGTCCCCAAGCTGTCGATCCGCACTCTACAGCAGCTGGTGGCCATTGGTGCCGCCATGGCCTGCTGACTTGTTCTCATCAGCAGCCGAGGACCCACCCACACTTTACTCCAACACATTCGCACACTGCGCAAAGCATTGTCACACATTCACCGCCATGCAAAATATGTTGAAAGAGCGGAAGCCATTTATGCGGTGGGCTTACTCCACTTGGCAGCCATTTTCCACTTCCCATCCTCTACCCACCGCTCCAAACAATGGCGCGCAAGATTCCTACAACTCCAAGTCCACCCAGAGCACTACACTTACTCCCATTTCCTTGCCCCCAATTCAGTCGACATCAAACTTTTCTTCAACTCCCACGACGCACACCGATGCTACCACCAACACGGCCACTGCTATGTGGGCTCTACTGCCATCGGCGTACCTGGCAGAGAACACAACCGCCGAGCCAAGCTTAAACAGCTAGCCAAGAACACTCCCATCTCAGCGGAGCTAGCCTCCGCTACTGGCACTCCACTGACACTATCACCCAGTTCTCCACCATCCACATTGCCACATACCCAGACTATGACCAGGCCTGGATCTATGAACATTTGTACATCTCCAGATGGCAACCTACACTCAACTGGCCTTACATTTCACAGCGCCTCAAACTCAAAGCAGACGGTTGGCAATTCAGCCGGCATCGAGCCCATTTCTTTCCACACCTTGCCAATCACTATCGCCTTTTTCGACGACTGTGCCGACGACTACAATCTACAGCCCAACCTATCCTTTACACATCACACAAACTACACGCCCTCACCATCCTTCGAGACCTCACCAAACACACACGAGCATCCTTCGATGCCGCCACAGCTCCGCTCCGCCTTCGCCGCAAGCATCCCACACAACGGACACTTTACACCGATGACATCACCACGATCGTTGCTCTAGCATTGGATTCATGTATTTTCACACGATCTTCGCAGCTGTCGTCAAGCCCTGAGAGGAAAAGCTTCGGTTTCGATCGAACTCATTCTTCAGTGCACCCTTACGCAGAGTGCGTCATCCCCAGTCTCGTGTTTGTGCATGTTCCCCCTGTTCCTGCAGTTCTCCCCGTTAATCTAGCTTTTGATGCTGTCTTGCCATGCTTCTGGCCCTAGCTTCACGCCCTCCCATTCCCACCATGACGTCGCTTTCCGAGCAATGTCACGCAGAGTGCACCGTCCCCGGCCCCCTGTGTGTGTCACCACCTGTTTCTAAGGTTTTCTTAGCTAATCACTGTGTAGCTGACGTCCACTATGTTTCAGAAATACGACTATGACTTCTCAATTTGAACAGCAGGGGGGCAGTGAATCTCATTCCATCCACTGCCCAACGAAGATGGTGGTTTGAGATTGTGAAGCGAGAAGGGACGCCTTCTCGTGTACCTGCAGGCCAATTTTTAAGTCATCGTTTCACCTGTGTTTAACAATTCTGGTATTCTGACCCAGCATTCGTTCGGTTCTTGCAAGTCAAGGTCTACCATGCAGCGGGTAATGTAATCATCTAGAGTGGGACTTCATACTGATCCTAGCTCTTGCGAGCAACTCTCTAAGTGTGTGCCCCTTGTAGTCACTGGGATTCTTTTGAATTTTTTTCTCATGAGCAGGGGGACAACCCCATGGATGCAGTTGTTTGTCCAACGAAGAGGGCTGCATTCCATGGCTGATATGATCCTGGGACGCTGGGATCACGTACCTGCTTGGTTGTGATGTTTCCAAGCTGCCACTCTCATCTTCCAATAAAGTCCTAGTGAGCTCTGCAGTTGTGAGCGCCCGTCGTCATCCTGTTGGATCGGCCCCGCCTTGAGTTTTTGGCCTCGCTTCCTTTTGAAGACCCCCAGGCTCTTTAGGACTTTCCTGGAGTTTTCAAGATTTGGGTTCTTAGGCCGGCGTGTGGCACCGCATTCACATCAGTACGCATTTCTACAAGTGTGTGCGCGAAGAAAAGCGCTTTCAAGTTCTCTTCCTGGTCAGAGCGTTGATGTCATCCTTGCTCCTCTATCTTTCTTGAAATATTTTTTATTATGTGAAGCCACACAAGAAGACAGGCTGGGGGATGGAATGACCTACCCAGTGAATAATTCATGTGTAGACCTTCCCCCTTCCCCCGCCTCCCGGCGGGTTCAACTCCCTCCTCTCCTACGTCTGATCAAGGCATCGGAGAGGACAATCCACTACTAGTAGGTCATTTGACTGTAGGTCAACGCACGGCAACCAGAGACCTTCCATAAAACCACAGAATTGTGCTCTCCGATACCTCTCGCAAATCCCGTTTCTCAGCCATAGCTTTCGTCAACAACCCCGGCCTCAAGTTGATGTAAAGGAGGAACCTGCGCACACCGGCCCCTTTGTTGGGCTTCTTTACCTTTTTGATGCTCTATATGCGGTGTACAGACCCTCGACTCAAATATTTTTTTTTTACATTTCTGGACTGGGTATCCCCAAAGATCCTCAGCACTTTGGATTTGATAGAGGCCCTTTTTGAAAAGGAGTAAGGTGCCAAGATCGTTTATTTTGCTTGCACCAGCGGCCTCAGGGGTAAGGTAAGACAACCGCGCGCCACAGCTTGTAGCTTATTTTGCGATCTTAGACGAAGCATGATGGTTGATGACCATTTGTGTCGCCCCAACTTGATTTGGTGGTTTCCAATCCTCGGATTGTTCTAGACCCGCAGCAGAACAGTCTCTCGATCCCTATTTTGGTCGCAAAAGAGATCAATGTACTTACCGCACAAGAGTTCTTCGTGTGCACAAAATGGTTGTCCTGATAGGGTGCTTTCCTTGACTGGGCTCACCTTGTTGTGCCGTGCACATTTTTGGACTTGGTGGTCAGGAGATCCGAGCCGTTGTACGCTGACTTGCAGGTTTCGTGGCATGTGCAGCTCTTTGGACTTGGTGGGTGTGCGCTGATTTCGTGGCAGGTGCAGTGAGTCGTGAATCACTTTGGGCATGACTCGTTTTCCGAACTTGGGAGACGTATTTAGCGAAAGCTTCGTTTGGTTGTTCTTGGACGTGCATTGTGATGTGCAGATTTAGTGGCAGTCGCAGCACTTGTGAAAAGTACAGCTTTAGTGGTAGGCGCAGCACTGTGTGAACCTCGCGAACTTCAGTGTAGACTTCGTAGCAGGCACAGTACTTTGTAGACTGCGAAGCAGATTGCACCTGTGCTTTCGTGTGTGTGCTCTCATGTGGTTGCTTTCATATGTGTCCTCACATGTGTGCTCTTATGCGTGTGCTCTCATACCTTTGCTCTCATGTGGGTGTCGTTTGTTCTGCTGAACATTGTTTGGTGTCTTTTGCCGGGATACTGTAGTGTCCAGAACAAACTGCTACACCTCATGCTGTTGAAAAAAAAGGGAACCATATGACATGAAATCATTAAAGTGTATACCCCTTTCCCTTGTACCGCTGTTTCTGTAGTCACTTGTTCTCTCCTTTTGATTTTAGATAAAGTCGTGACATTCTTGGAAACTGCAAATGACAGGATCTTGCTCGTAGGCAATTGAGGACCCTGAACGACAACACTTTCACATTATGGGAGACAATCGATGATACGGGATACGGTTTATTCCTCCTCTGTTTGTGTGGTCTATCCGGATGCTAGTCGGATTCTGCAAGGTTTAGAGAGAGGCGGGTTGTAGAATTTTCTCCTTCTCTGGGATGTTAGAAACTATACTGTATATAGATCTTTTTTGTCCTTTGAGATCCTTCGAGCGTGTTTTCCATTTAGCTGGCTCCAGGATTGGCATTTTGTCTGGTGGCCAGAAAGTCAAGGTCGTTCTCGGTGCTGCCATGTGGCCATGAACCACAGAGAAGCTGCAAGTGTCGCCAGAGTGAGGATGCATGTTGTGTGTGATCCTCAGGCTGTCCCCGCATATCCTCATTTTGGATGAGCCGGAGCCTCTTTTCTCGCTTTGCCAATACAAGTCCTGGTGCGGCCTTCACTCTAATATTCTTCGGGCTCAATCAATATGCCTCAATAGCATGCGGGCATTGCATGATCGTGTTTCTGTTACCAATTTGCACTGAAAACAGAGTACGACCAACGCCCAAGGCCCACCAATTACTTGGACAGAGACTCTTTGGGAGCTCTTGCTGCAGGCTGATCCTGCTCAAAGTTTCTAACACACTGATGTTTGTTGAAGATTCTGTTCTCCAAGTTGTCTCAAGCATTCCTAGCGATTCTGAGAGCAATTTCAGTAGGTTTGAAAGAATTTGGTGGTGGAGCCGCAGCCACAGCTGAACAAGTCTTGGAATCACGCAGTTCTCGACACCAGTAGACCCATGAGGTGATAGTCATCTCTCACAACCGCGAGCATGCACCCCAGACGACATAAGTTCACCTGCTCTGTCTTCAACATTCTTCAACTACCTATATAGTGGGTAGGGAAGTCTTGATTTTGAAGTGATAAGGTTTTGCCATGCTGTTTGTGATGAGCGCTGGGTCATGAACGCAGGGTGCTGAGAGTTTGGCATCATGAGCACACCAGAGGCAACAGATGGTAACTGCGTGCAGTCCTTCAGGCTGGTCGATTGAGCAGAGAAGGACAAGTGAGCAAAATGGACGTGGCGTGCGGCTCTCAGGGTCGACAAACAGCAGGGAAGCTTCCCGGGAACTCTTCCCTCCCAAAGCTTAACGAGCTTGCTGTAGCTAGAAGCACTAGTAACAAGTAACAAGGGTGTTACTACTAGCAAGAAGCTAGTAACGAGGGCATCGCTAGCACAAATGAACTCACCTTTGAGCCGCAAGGTTGGAAGGCAAGGCAATGGTGGACGAGAGCCTTGGCTGCCTTGGATGTCTCTGCGTTCTTTGTGATCACGAACAGCAACAGCTCATGTCCCGCTCAGATACACCGACGAGTTTGGCAACGTTCACAAGCTAAAGAAAAAGCAACCTCAGACTGAGAAGGAGCAAGCTGATTGATCAGGGTTGAGTACAAGCCTTATGCTTTCACACGACCACTATTCCTGCTGTGCAGGAGCTGAAGAAGATGAAAAGGCAGAAGGAGCTTGCTCGAAAGCGTGGAGATGTTCCTTGGATATACAACAGTGTGATAGTGGTAGTCTCTTGCATTTGTTCGTCGAAACAGCCATAGCAACTAGGGCACTCATGCGGCAGGTTTTCATTGAGGATGAGGATGAATGGCCGTGCTCTCAATATAGATTGAGTCAATCATAGCCAAACGATGTTTCATGGAGAAGCCGGTAGAAATTGCCTGTTTCCTTACAGCAAGCTCCATCGAATCAGGTGGGATAAACTTCAAGAAGAAGTTGCCAAACCAGTGTTGAGCGAGTGACAACCTCAGACAATCCAGCGTCTGGAACGGACACCGTTCATCCCCTTTTCTGGAGCTTCAAACAGAAGCTTGGATGCTTGGGATGTTTACGCCAGGCCTGCTACATCCAGCTAGGAGAGCTTGGGCTTCATGTTAGATTTACAAGTGCATATGGAAGGTGGTCACACATATGCCAGTGAAGCATTACTCAGTCTGGTGGAGTTGAATGTCCTGGAGAAGCAATCGGCCCAAGGCAATTTCTCAGCGCGCTTGATTTAGAACGTGCCTCACGGCAAGCCTTCTACAGGATGGGTGGAGGGGCAAGCTCTTTGAATAACAAGCTTGTCGATGCCTCTCACAGAGGTGTTGTGAAGGAGATGGAGGAAGCGCTTGCAAAGGGGGCTGATCCGAACGCCAAGGATGAGTGGAAGAACAGTGCTCTCATTTGCGCTGCTCGGAAAGGCAACACCGATGCGTGTTCCTTGCTCATCAAGCACAAGGCTGAAGTCGACTACCTCAACAAAGACAACCTGACTCCTTTGTATTACGCCGCCAAAGACCATCACACCGACACTGTGAAAGTTCTTCTTGATGCAGGTGCACATGCAGACATCTACGATGAGTTGCGCGAAACACCCCTTTTTGATGCGGCTTGGTTTGGGCAGCTTGAGCTTTGCAAACTACTGATCGAGAAAGGTGCGAAAGTCGACAATCAGTCCAAACTTACAAAGTCAACTCCTTTGCACAAGGCAGCCATGATGGGAAAGTTGGATATTTGTAAGCTCTTGATTGAAAAGGGGGCCAACACAAAGTTGAAGAATGACAAGGACCGTACCCCCCTTGACTGTGCTGAGTACATGAATGAGGCCGAGACTGCCCAGTACTTGAAGAGTTTGGAAGGTGCTCAAGCGGCTGACGCACCCAAGGAAGCAGAAGGACCGGCTGTGCCCCAAAAAGCCGATGAAGCTGCGACCGAGGAGGCTGTGCCAGCTGCCCCAGTGGACGCAGCTGAGGCTGCGACGGAGGAGGCTGTGGCTGCACCAGCTGCCCCCGAGGAAGCCACGGAAGCCCAAGGGGCGGAGACCGCACCGGAGACGGCCGCTGACACAGAGGCCACGCCGGCAGCGCCAGCTGAGGCACCAGCAGAAGGTGCTTGAGACTGAACACATTTGAGCGGTCTCTTTTGAGAGATTGAGCTTTGAAGGCACTTGTGGATTGACAGTGCCTGTAAAGGTAGAGTTTCACATGTATCAGCATCTCTCATGTTGAATCTCACAACCACTTGAACTTTGACTTTGCCTTGCATTGGCCATAGGGTCTCGTGCACAAAAAGCTGGTGGTACAGAGTACAGAGCTTGCTTGAAATCATCCCAACCGCTTTTACCACGACTTAGACATTTCTCTTTCATCCGTTTTGCAGTTTTGTGTTGCTCTGGTCACTGGTCTTTTTTCTTTGCAGGAACCAGCATTGGCTTTTGCCCTGGTGCCCTGCCAGTTTGCCAAGGTGGACAGTTTGATTGGGATCCGCTGCTATCCGCTATCCAACCCTAAGCTCAACAAATTCTTCTAACAACTACTATACTATACAGTTGCTTTCCAGGCTGTTTAGATAGTTGAGCTTTTTCGGAAAACACATTGCAGCAAGAATTGTGTGAGACTGCTGCAGAAGGTTTTTGTGTCGTACACAATCAAACGCATATACTAGCTGTGCTATGAGTCGAGCCTGTTGCTTTATCATCCATATAGCGGCTCCCGAAGCACGTCTCACTCTGTCCAAGCTAGCAATCATGCTTATACATATTTAATACTGGGTGGTGGTTTCAGATATTTCTTTATGTTCACTTTACTTGGGGATGATTGAACCCACTGACTGATATTTTCCAAGTGAGTTGAAACCATCAACCAGCATGCTCACAATTTTCGAGCCTTTTGTATACAGTATATACAGTACATGTATGTATGCATGGAAAATTATAGTATGGTATGGCGATGCGATGTGATGTGATGTAATGCAGTGCAATGCAAAGCAATGTATTTCATGTATGTATTCAGAAATTCATGTGTGTAATACAATGTAATGTAATTTGATGATATGTTATGTTATGTTATTGTTTGAATGTATTAATTAATGCAATGCAATGTAGTGTAGTGTGGTGTAATGCAATTGTTATGTAATTCACCAATTTGTCACCGAAAGCTTGATCACCGAAAGCCTTGCCACCGAAAGCTTCGTCACTGAAAGCAGGCACATTCCCGGGCCCGGCCATGATCAAAAAATGCAAGGTTTCTTCACCCTATGCTTTTTTTTGTGTTCCCCTGCCGAGCATATGTTCTATTCCCGACAATATTTGCATTGCTGGCGACAAGAGATTCCATATGCGCGACAAGAAAATAGTGTCTTCTTCCGACCCAACTCACACGTTCAATTCCAACAACATCCAACAACCTCCTTCGAGGAAGACCAACTGAAGTTGGCAACAGAGACGCAGTACATCCTTTTGTACCCCCGCTTAGAACATTGGACAATTTTGTGGAGCAACCACAGGTGTTTAAGTTTCACTTGGACAGGCAGCCGCCGGTGAACCGGAATCCGCACACCACCTCGTTTCTGAGATCTTCTATAGATCCAGCACTTCACGAAGGCAATCTGCAAGCCGCTTTCTTCTTGCAATGTGTGCCTGCGGCCTGTTCACAGACTTGAGGGCCATCACAAAAGCTATAGCCTGGCAGGCTAGCTTGGTCTGAAATGGTCGTGCCTCCAGCAAGCACGTCTGCCTTGCGGCCAACGTGCTTGACCTTTAGGCCCTGTGCCACGCCTTCTGTTCTGACGTATAACCGCAGAGGTCACACTTGCAAGGCCTTGGCCTTCTTCTTCTTCTTGGCTGGCAGGAAGCCTTGGACAAAAAACAATTTGCTGCAAGAAGAAAAGGCGCAAAGCAGGCACAGGCACAGGTGCTTGTCCAGGACGCCCTGGGTCGTCGTGGTGGCTGAGAATGAGATCCCGCTTGATGCGCTGCCGTCCGCACAGCCGAAACATTGGGAGCGCAGCTCTGTATGAACCTCCGCAGAGCTCAACAAAGGATCAGTGCGCTCCTCAAGTTTGAAGACATGGTGTTGACGGAATTGGCCTGCCTTGATTCTTGTCAGCACCTGGCTGTCGCAAGCAGCAGCCTTTGCCCTCCGGGAGCCGCCAAACACAGCTACGATATTGTTCGCGTAACCATGGCCTAGCAAGTGGCCAAGGTACACACACCTTTTTGACGCATTTGTACGATTTTTCCTTCCTTCCTTCCTTCCTTCCTTCCTGCGTGCCTGCCTGCCTGCCTGCCTGCCTGCCTGTAAAGGGACCACGAGGTGACAGTGGAGGTGAAGAGGTTCAGAGCAGAAACATCAAGCGTGAGGTGTTTTGATGTTTGATGTGTTTGTTTTCAAGCACTCGAAATGAACAAATGATCTTAAGGACCTGCTTTGCTTGGAATGTGACATAAACTGATGAACTGATCCGCCAACCAAATAAACCCGGCAAGGCACAAGAGATGCAGCAACAAATGTTGGCCTTGTCTATGTCTGGGTGTCAAACAATTGGCGGTTAAAACAACCTGCCTGTCTGTTTGTCTGCCTGCCTGCCTGCCTGCTTGCCTGCCCCCTTCCTTCCGTCCTTGCTTGCTTGTTTGCTTGCTTGTTTGCTTGCTGCCTTTCTTTCTTTCTTTCTTTCTTGTGTTACGCCGTTACGCATTTTTGCCCGTTTGTTTTTCTTTCGTACATTGTTTTGTCGAATTGATTTCCCCACGGGAGGAAAGAACGCAAACAAATGTTTCCAGACAGTCTTTTGAAGTGTTTTTACGATTTTTTGCGCTTCCTGCTCCCTTCTCATGTGGGCTTGTGTTACTCTGTCGTGTATTTTTTTGCATTTTTCAATCATGTTACATGTTGTTACTAGAACATACTAGAACGTTTTTTGTTTTCAAAAATGTTACATTTTGTCACTAGAACGGATTTCCCACAGAAAAAACAGACAACAGTTTCCAGAGCGTGCGCACGCCTTTTCGTATTTATGCAATTTTTTACGCGTCTGTCTTCTTTGCTTATATTCTACGTTTTTCTATGTTTTTCTTTTAAAGCATGCTAGGTTTCCAATTTTCTTGCATGTTTTTTACTTTTCCTTTGCCAACTTTTAGTTCTACGTACATGTTGGTAGGACCTTCTAGGAGATCGGTAAGAGGCAGAAGAAAGCGAGCGCGGAAGTGGATCGCAGTGTCCAGGCCATTGTTTTGTGCTCCGAATTTTGGATGGCCGGCAGGGATGTGGACACATATTGCCCCCAGATAAATGTCTTTGCCTGTAGCAACATAGTATCGATATATGCGGAAAGGCGTGATTGAAAAGTGCTGCGCACGCAGCGGATGTCACTCGTAGCAGCAGTGAACACTACAGGTTCACACAACTGACAAGAACCCTCATAGCCGGAGCAATCTTGTTTGCCGACAAATTTCTGCTTGTACCTTCGATCAGTGCGGGGATACCTATCAAAAAGAACATTGATTCCTATCAAAAAGAAAATCGTTTGCTGGTTCCCTGGTCGCTTGGTCCTTGGGTCCCTTTGTCCTGGTCCCTTGGTCCCCTGCTCCCTTGGTCCCCTGGTCCCTTGGTCCCTCTGGTCCCTTGGTCCTCTGGTCCCTTTGTCCTCTGGTCCCTTGGTCCTCTGGTCCTTTGGTCCTCTGGTCCTTTGGTCCTTCGTCCTGGTCTTCGGGTCCTTGGGTCTGTACTTTCGAGGCAAGACGCGTTCAAGGTGATTTGGAAATCTGGCCTGTGAAGCACCGTAGCAGACCTTTTATCGCCAGACGTAGCAGACCTTTTTTGTGAGCCACCCTGATGGTAAAATTTAGACGAAGAAAGTGCCATTCCAAGGTAGCAAACCTTTTATCGTGAGCCACCTGAGGGCAAAATTTTGAAGAAGAAGGAACCATTCCAACGTTGCAGACCTTTTGTTAGCCTTGCGAGGTTAAAACTTAGAGGAAGAAGTTGCCATTCCAACGTAGCAGGCCTTTGTTTTGTGAGCAACTTGCTATTCCAACGTAGCAGACCTTTTGTGAGCAAAATTTAGAGGAGCAGTAGACCTTTTGTGACCCATGCGAGGGCAACATTTACAGGAGCAGACCTGTTGTCAGCATAAACTTTAGAGGAGGAAGGTGACATTCCAATATAGCAGACCTTTTGCGAGCCATCCACAGGTCTTGTGGTTTTGTGAGCCATTGTGAAATTCAGAGAGATCACGGTTGAGATGCAGAGAGGTCTACATCTACAAAGATCCAGAGGCCTGGAGATCCAGACGGATCCGCAGGTGTAGAGGTCTAGAAACCCACAGACCTAAAGATGGAGGTTTAAAGGTCTTGAGTATTGAGATCCCGGGACGTTTGAAATCTAAGTTCTAGGGGTCTAGACTTGCAGAGGGTGTAGAAAGATGTTCAGATCCAGAGATATCAAGAGCTCTTTTCACAGGTCTTGAGATCCACAGAATTTTGCAAACGCCACGCAAAGTGCACTTCAAGGTTCGCAATCGCTGGCCTTGCCACGAAGTCTGCGCTTGTAGACAGAGGTTCAGGCAATCTGCACTTCGAGGTTCACGAAGTGCTGCACCTGCCATGAAATCTGCAGTTCCAGTGCACAAAGTGCAGCGCCTGCCACGAAACCTGCTACTGGAGGTGCTCAAAGTGCTGCGCTTGCACGAAATCTGCACTTCCAATGCACAAAGTGCCGCTCCTGCCACGAAATCTGCTACTGGAGGTGCTCAAAGTGCTGCGCCTGCCACGAAATCTGCAGCTCGAGTGCACAAAGCGCTGCTCCTGCTACGAAATCTGCTACTGGAGATGCTCAAAGTGCTGCGCGTGCCACGAAATCTGCGCATCCAGATTCACATCGCGCAGCGCTGCCAAGGCGGTTTGCAGTGGCAGGCGCAGCTCTTTGTGAGAGATATTTTGTTTTTGATACAAATTAACTTTCTTTTTGATAGGATATAGAAATTTTCTTTTTGATATATATATATATATATATATATTCATGTTCTTTTTGATGGCCCGGCCATCAGTGCGGCTGTTCTGAACAAATGCATGGGCTGACAATTTGGACATGGCTGTCCTTCAGTTTGTAGTCGGGATTGTGTATGTGTTTTTTGTCGAGCCTGATGTGTTTTCTTGTCGTGTTTTTTGGCCGACCTGGTCAAGTATACATCACGGTCTCTCCCCGGCCTTCTTGTTATTTTGATTGTCCCCCCTTCCCAATGACTCAGAAATCAGTGGTGCAAGGCTTGTAAGTTTCAGCTCACTCTGCAAAACTCAGATAGCTAATCACCGGATTCTGCACTCAGTTTCGGCCTGTGCGATGCAAGAAACATTCGGAAAGTGCGTTGAAACTCTTCAGATATAGGTTTCATAGGGCCGATGGCCGATGGGTGTGATTGTCCTTTTGCAGAACTTTTGAGAATAGCCAATGTCGTTGCTGAGTTTGAACGTACAGGCCGTCTTGGGACACCGGGTGCACTTACTTAGGCTCAAGACATCTCAAAACCAAGATCAACACGCTCATGCAGTTGGTTTTGTAATGTTTTGTCATATTTTGGAATTATATATATAATACACTTTAATACACAGTATTTGTGTCATAGTGGACAAGTATTGCAGGTGGAAGGCGCAACCCAGGTTGAGATGTTTGAGGAGAGACTTGGAATAGTCTTGAATGAGTGTATGTATACAGTTGTAGGAGAGTTGACATCAATATCAATTGGCCCACCCGCAAATTCATCCAATCTCTCATACCCACCGCCCCTCACGCCCCGGCCCAGCCCAGTTGTCCAATGCATACCACTGCTGCCCATCACTGAATCATTCCCATAGCGACTTGGTGCATGCTTTTTGCCCTTGTATATGCCCTCCTTTCTTCCACCTCGAGTCGTGCAAACAGTTGTTTATGAGCATCACCAGCATTGCTGGCAGGGCATATTCTGACGGGTCTCAATGTTTGATCGTGCAGCCTGTGTGGTGTGCTTTGCCGGTTTTCGATAAGCGCAGACAGAGCGCAGCCGGGGAGCAGAGGTCCATGGCCCAAGGTCGCCCAAGGTGTTGAATTTCATCAAACTTTTATATGAACCTGAGAATGCACAATTTAAGAGAATTGAGTTTGCGAGGAAAGATGTTGAACGAAAATCGACGGACGGTCATCGAGACTACAATTCTAGCAGCTCCCATCCGGCCAGCTTTGCCTCCACCGAGTTTCCAACTCGCCCACTTTGTAGAGGAGGCAGTTTCGCAAGGATGTGTTAATCAGAGTCGGAGTTCAAAAACCAATCTAAAGATTCAAGCAGAGCGGCTTTGGGAAATTGAGTCTTGAACACGCATGTATGTGCAACATCCGCCATTTCCAGTGTGTTGTCTGACTCTGCTTACCAAATCCAGCGATATTTTTTGTTAACTAGTATCCATTAGTGCCCGTAGAAATTTATGCCCAGTCTGAGTGCCAAGCGGTTGCACCCGTGAAGCTACGAAGTATGTTTGTGCTAGGCCAGTGCTCAAAAGCTTGAAGTCTGCCACCGTCCAGAGGAAGATGTGCAGAGACGAGTCAAGCACCCTTGGCAAGCTCGGGACATTGCTCCACAGCTGAAGCGTTTGAAAAATGCTTCAACGGCATTGAGCCCGGCAATCAAAAGGGCTGAAATTGCTTGCTTGTTCAGAGGATGTGATTATGTGGTTCCCATCTTTGGCAGAAAGTATTAGACAGCAGAAACTTGAGACTTTAAATAGCCCTTGAGCAACTAAGAGCACTACTCAACTCTCGCACGAGGACGGACCACCCTCTTGTGGAAGTTAGCCACCTTCTCATTTTATGGAAACAAAGCCATGAAACCCCAGTATCCCTGCCATAATAGTTGGCAACTGCCAGTTCAGGCCGGGATTTGCCTGTTGGAGAGTGCTATGCACACGCGCCTCGAAACTTGAAGCTTGAAGGTTGTCCCAACGGTACAGCAACAAACAGGGGTACAATGTGATGTGCGACGCTTTAGCAGCAAAGAGGACAAACACTGCAAGATTTAGGAGTGCATTGATAGGAGAATGGAGGCAAGATAGCCGTAACATGCTTAAGGTGCTGTTGCTTTCCCAAACAGAAACACCTGATGTTCGACGCCATGGAAATGGGAGAGATCTTTCTGTAGTCCACTTCCTATGCGGCAAGCCAGTTCTGTGCTCAAGGTTGTAGCAGCGACAGACTTTTGCGGTGAATGTTCTTCAAAGCAATTTGCCGAGGTCTGAATGAGACGGCTTTGGGTGCCTCATCCAGAGCAGGTGTTCAAACGTTTGATGTTGAGAGTCCGAGTCAGTTTTCAGGGCTTGCTAGAGGCTTGGTAGTTTTGAGGTGCACACGCTGTCAATAACCAAGACCTGCAGAAGTAAAGTCACTCATCATTTGCCTCAGACAGGTTTGGGCTCCATGCTGGCTGCATGATGCCATTGATGGCATTGCAACGCTGGGTGCCCGGAGTAAGATAGAGGCGCCAAGAAGAGGAGACAAAAGGATAGGAAAAGGAAAGGGAAGGGGCGTGAAAGGAGAGGGCACGGTTGTCCATTTAGTGGCTCAACCATCGTTATCACCTTTCACGCAAGGGTTGCGCCATCATCTTGGCTGGTATCATGCACTGTTGTGAAAATTGGTCAATGGAGTTTGAAGTGGACGCACGAAAACAGGAAAGAAAAGCAAAGGGGAGGAAAGGTAAAGGAGAAGTGAAGGAAAGGAAGCAAAAGGATAAGACAGGGAAGGGGAACGGACATGACAGGAGAGGGAAAGGATACATTTCGGAAAGGAAAGAGAGGGACAGGAGAAGGTAAGGAGTTGCGCCATCTATTCTCACAGCAACCACTGAAATAGATCGTGAATGAGCAGAAAAAGGCGCATGATCCTCTACAAAAATTGGTCTGCTACCCTTAACCTGGGCGTGTCTCCGAAGGGCCTTGTCGGTGCCATTTACTCGCCTTTTCTGTTTCGGGCGGAGCCATCTACTCTGCCATCTTCTTCTACTGTATATGTAATTTCGCCACAATTCCAACCAACTGCATATATGTATAAATAGAAGGTTAATTTATGCGCTTTGAGCAAAGATGTTCCCCACCCACAAAAGCTATGACCTCTTTGTTTGCTTTGTGCGCGGACATTACATTGACAAACATATACAGAGCAAACAGTTCTGTGCTTGGAGCAACTTTATGCTATGCTGCTTGTTCAATCCTCATCCTCACTTGAACCCTCTGCGTTTCTACTGAGACATGATGCATGCATAGGTTATGCATAGCTGGTGTTCTTTGGAGGCTTCGCAACACATGTGTGTGCAAACGGGTTCGCAATCGAAATCACAACTTTTGGCCTGGCTTGCTGGTGGAAATAAGCCAGGGTTGCTTCGCCATGGCCCTGCAGAGCTCACTTGATCCGATGTTCACAAATGGCATGTTCAAGACCATGCCCGCAAGATTTCTCTCTGCAGATTGGTGTTCGCCAGAGTTTTTGTTCCTTAACTATTTGCAAGGGCAAATTGCAAGAATTCCAACAACTCCCGCGATGTTTCGCCACCGCAACCCCTTAGCATGGTGCTCAGCAATATTTTCATTCCCCACATTGATGTGTGTTTTTTGTTTTTAGTGTGGTATCCGCTCCTCCTTCCTTCTCCTCCTCCTCCCGCCTCCCGCGCCAACCAACTGCCACCAACCAATTGCCGCCAACAAATTGTCATCAACCAATTGTCAACAACCAATTGCCACCCACGAGCTGTCACCAACCAATTGCCACCCACCAATTACCATTTGTCACCAACCAATTGTCATCAACCAATTGTCATCAACCAATTGCTACCCACCACTTGTCATCAGGCAATTGCCACCCACCAATTGTCACACAACCAGTTGTCAACAACCAATTGTCATCAACTCACCAACCAATTGTCACCAACCAATTGCTACCAATGATTTGCTTGCCACTTGTCTTCTCCAGCAGGTCGGATGTACGCCCCGGTGCTGGGTCTCCGCCGCTATTCCGCTGTGATTTGCGTGCGAGGTGTTCAAAAACACTGTATTTTATAAGGTTTTGTGGGCGTGGAAGATCCACAATTTGGACAGTGGTGAAATGCAAAAAGCCGTGGGTTTTACAAGGGTGGTGTCGGTAATGCGCGCCGCCCGCGCGTGCATAATCGGATTTTTTGAGTCATGGGCAAATGGCGCAAAATGTACCCCAAGATGAGCCAACAGGGGCCCCCATTATACTGGGTGCTCGGGTTAACTTGTCTCGAATGGCATGAACTTGGGCCGGATGAGGTGTGCCCTTGCAGGAAAGCTTGATTGGGCTAAGTTTTTGTATGTATGTTGTTGTTGATCAAAGGTTGAGAATTCGACCAAACCGCAAGGGCACACTGTTGATTCTGTCTCAAGTTTATTGTACTCCCAAGTGCACCGTTGCGATTTCATGTTTTTGGCCTCACTACATTGTGATTAGTTTTTTTTCAACAATCGTTGAAAACGGTGTCCCCAAGCAGTTTTGTGTTTAGGAGTGTAGACGATCATTGTTTGGTCATTTCATACTGTGTATGTGACTAGTGACTAGTGCTTGGAATACAACCAGCCTCGAGTTGCGCTTCCCAACCAATCTTGGGACAGAACGGGGGCAGGCCTCATTTGCCTCATGCATTTGTTTCTACATACTGGGTGCCTGCGTTTGCCCCTATCGTGGTCAAGATCTCGTATGGCAGCCGGTGTGCCATTGGGGGGAGCCATCAAAGCAGTGCAAACAAGAAGAGATGAGCAACATACTTCTCCATCTTATTGATGCCAGATCTGCGTGGCACACTGGCTTTTTCGCGTTCACACTGCAATGTCTGTGAATCCAGTATACCATTGGGGTAAGCTATCGAATAGCTATGAATTTGAACTTTTCTAGAGGTAAACAATCTAGGCTGGGAGAACAAGTGCTTGTTTCGAAGCGGTGTGCCATGGGGATTGGGAGAGGAAAACACGCAAGAATGAATAGATATGTTTGACGTTTACAGAACAATTCCATGCTGTTTGCACTCTATGTAGAAACTTAAAGCTGGTACCAACGTGTGGGTCAGAATCGGTGTGCCATGGGGGTTGGATCACGGCAACCCACAGAATACCTTAGAAAACATCAACATGTAGAAGATTGAATCGCAATGGAATCGTGTAGGTTTAGAAACATCTAGGAGAAAACGTGCTTGTTTCCAAGCGGTGTGCCATTGTGTTTTCCAAATGGGGTAATTTCTTACATTCGTGGGGTAAGCGGTGTGCCATGGGGGTGGGTCAACTTCATGTGCGATGGGGTAAGTTACCACGTCGGGTCGTAGGTCCAAGATGGGTTAACAAAGCCCCAAGATGACCTAACGTGGGGCAAAGAGGGGCGCAACATAGGTCACGAACCAATGGCCATCAATCATCAATCCTTACCAACCAAAGTGTCATCAATCAATTGTTACCAACCAACTGTCACCAACCAATTGTCAGCAACGAACTGTCACCAACCAACTGCTACCAACTAACATCACAAGATCACACAACATCACACACACGCCACATACAGACAACATTATAGGGTGGGATAACCCCACATGTTATATCTGCATAGGTGGTTGGTGACAATTGGTGGGTGGCAATTGGTTGGTGTGACAATTGATTGATTGATGACAATTGGTTGAGGACCATGGTTTTTAAGAAAAACAGGCCCTCAAAAATAACCCTTTCAGAAGGGCAGAGACCTACCAACCAGTTGTCACCAACCAATTGCCACCAACCAATTGTCACCAACAAACTGCCACCAACCAATTGCCACCAACCAATTGCCACCAACAGACTGCCACCAACCAACTGCCACCAACCAATTGCCACCACCAAATTTCCACCACAAACTGCCACCAACCAACTGCCACCAAGAAACTTCCACCCACAAACTGCCACCAACCAACCACCAATTGTCCGCTCCTGTGTTTGGTGAAGTTGTGAACATGTGGGGTTATCCGGTCCTATAATTAGTTGTTTGCCTAGTGCTTAATGTGCGTGCGTGTCTATCCTGGCCAGCAGCGGCAGCAGACCTGAACTCTAGGCAATGGCCCCCGACTTGGGTCAACCCATCACCCACTCTCACGGAGCTCTTCTGAGATGTGTCTCTTTTTCATTATCCTGCGAGTTGTTGAATTAGGCCACCTTTGCCTCTGCTTTGTTCAATGGACGCTGCACGTTTGTCGAACACCTTGGCCCAACCTGAGGTTTGGGACGGAAGAGGGAGAGGTGAGGAGACTCTGTTTGATGCCGCGATAAATGGAAGGGCCAGAACCATTTAGTAGGTCCAACATAAAAATGGTAAGGCAGTGCTTTCGGTCAGTGCGCTCGTCGTTTTAAGTTGCTGCAGTGTGCAGTGCTCTCAGCAGGCGCTGGAAATTTCGGCCGCCCAGATCAACACTTTGGAAGAAGTTCACCAGCAGCAGGCGTTGGATGGAGACCAGCACCCATAGTTGTGAGTTCAAAGTTCAAATACTGTATAATTAATATAGGCCACCGAATGCAAATTTTGCTCGGCAGAGAACATTGTTTTTCTAATGTCGCTGATGACAGACAACTAACTAAGCATCCTGTTGATACACATCTGTGCACATCGAAGAAGTAGCTGGCTGTTTGGCCATCGTGTTCCTGGCTGTGTTCTTCGGCCAAGAGCCAAAGTGGACAATGCCCATCGTGTGGACACTGCAATACCGGTGTCCGAACGCCCTTCTCGCGTCGTGGTATCCCCGGTGTCACGGGTGGGCAGGAAGTCTCATGAGCACTCTGCAACGATGTGTGATTTTTTCTAGAGCCCGAATTCATCATGTTTTGACAGCCCTGGCCAGGTGCAGGGCGAAGACGATATTTGCTTGCTAAACACTGTGACCGAAGCTGCACTACTTCATACAATCAGGGCAAGTACCTCAGAATCGACCTTCCTTCAACAATCCATTCTCAGCAGATCTCAGCACTAGATCCCCTGTGCAAGGCCCGCTTCAACAAGCAACTTGTCTACACATGGGTGTCCCGCATACTGCTCGCGGTGAATCCATTCCAGGTGCACACTGACATCTTTGTTGTAGTTGCTGTTTCTTTCGAAGGGACTGAGCATGTCTTGCCCGGCAAGGTGCTACCTCTGTATGCCTCTCAAGTGTTGGACCAGTACAGGCAGGGTCTCAAGCCATCGAGCAAGACGTAATCTATTTTGGTGGTTGTGTCTCGGTGATGTTGAGGATCAAACACAACTTGTGAATTCGTTTTGACGCTCTCAGTATTTGTTTTCTTCTGCCCGATTGGGATCATGCAATGCATGTTTGCTGAAACCTATAGACTCTGAACTGTAGAGAATACTCAAGAAGGCGGCAATAATGCAAGCTCAGAATTTTGCACACGCTCAAAGGTTGGAGTCGCCACAGGGCATTCATATTTCTACTTTACTAGTTTACTGGTGAACGCAGCTGGCAGTTGTGGCAAGGTTAGCTTGTCTCGCTGTTGATGAATGCAGTTTGGTACTCTGGTCTCATGTGGGACACGATAGTACAGTTGCCAATCTCGTCGTTGCTTCGACTCGGTGACTCACGTGGAGTCATGAGATTGCCGTCACATTGTGTCACATTTGAGACATTTACGGCAATTGGAGTGGATTCCTTTTCCAGCCGTTGTTCTTTTTGGATGGCTTGAATATAAGTAATATAAGACACACTAGAACTGGTATGACCGTATACCAGAAACATCTTGGTGATATATAATGTCTCGTAACTTTGCTGGGAACGGAATTCAAGAACTTACGTTCCGAGGAACTTTTTGGTTATCCATTGGCCATGTGTGCTGTCGAGCTGGGGCAACGGAAACCACCCTCAGACGGAAGTGTGAGAGATGTTTGGGTGTGACGCTTATGCTCAGACGGTAGTGTCTCAGTTATACAATGTTATACATACTGTGGATTACTGATTACTGTGGGTGTTTTGGTGGTGTGCTGCGTGAAAAATACATGTACCGCAGGTTGCTTGTAGGTGCGTGACCTTTTCTTTGTTCCTGTGCTATGATTTGCTATTTGGACAGCCAGCAGGGTTATAATGCGAGAGGATGTCATCGCTGTATTGACTCAGGTCATTTCTCGAATGTTTGTGGAGGAAACGAATCACCTTGCAAAAAGCGCCAGGTTTGCACCTGAGCTTCGTGCCACTGCCTCAATGTGTACCAAGTGGTAACATGCGGCAACAACATGAAACTTAATGAGGGCAGAGGTTTTGAGGACAACGACAGGAAAGGCAATTGTTGCTAAGGCTTTGCCACCCCACATCTTTTCGATTGCAGCAGATGCAGTGCTGGATGCTTTGCCAGTTCTTTAAACTCTTTAAACTCTTTGGCGCTGCACTGATTTTCCCACCTTTCTATGCCCAAGATCACCTGAGGTCTAATCTCCAGACATCTGGACGACACCAGGCTCTACAGATACAAGTGTTCGGACCTTCTGGACAACGACTTCTACATCGTCGACAAATCTTATCAAATCTATGCAGCACAACGGCGGCAGCGAGTGCTCGTCATGACGCGTCTGTGAGGCCATTGTGATCAATGGCGAGCCACTGGCTGAGCACAAATTCCTGAGCATGGCTGAGACATTAAAAGAGTTCCTGACATTTTCAACATGAGTTCCTGAATTTGCGTGGCTTTTCTTGTATCAGTCAAGGAGAACCCTTGAGCTACCTAGACGTACAATGAGCCAATTTGCCACACCTGGACAGATTGGACTGTGGGAAGCTCCTAAGGTCTGGTGCTGGAAAGACAGAGTCGGCCAAGCTCATCATGTCCTTTGTTGCGGAGGTGCTGGTCGGAGTTCGTGTTTTGTCAATCCTCCGTGCACCCTCCTGGTCACATCAATCTGGAGGCCACAAAACCAAGCCAAAAGCCAACCGCTGAGATCTTGCTCTGAGAGTTGCACCTTTCACACTGAGGCTGAGACGTGTCAAGGGCTTCGTTTTCGTTGAAGTTCAGTTTGAGAAACACCACAGGGCAATCAACCGCACATGTAGTCAGTAGATTGCGGCTCTGATTCTATGCAAAGCTGAAGTATCTACTTGCACCCAGAGCTGAGGCAACCGGACAGTTTCGAAGATAAGGCACCTTAGCCTATCCAAATTATTGATGGCCATGCGAAGCGCTGCTAGTTTGCTGAGAGGTTCTGCGAACGAATCCAGTCATGGAAGCCTTCGGCAATGTGCTAGCCACAGTGAAGATTTGCTTTTGTTTCACTTGAATGTCTTGAGTCACATATGCTTTTGACTGGTAAGACCGCGAAAAGGAGGCACTGAAGATCTGCATGTGCAAGACCCTAGGCCATGACAGTACGCAACAATAACTCCTCCAGGCGGGAAGGATTAGAATAGGAAAGACAGGGGAGTGGCTCTGAGAATAAAAGGTGAAGGAAGAAGCCAGGAGTAGAGCGCATGCCATGTTTCGGAGTTTACAGATTGCCGAACAGCTTTTTCATTATATTTGATTATGATTGATGATTATATTAGTATATGAATTAACTGCTGCGGCTGATTTTCTTATCCTTGCGCGTGAAGAATTGTCTTGAAGGTGGTCTCCCTAAACCTTAGCCGGCTTCAAGTAGTTTACTTGCTTTCAAGCGGCTCAACATCATCCTACTTTGGAAGCCATGGTTCCACGCGCCCACCACTGTAAGTTTCTTTTCCATGCTTTCATAAGGTTTGTCAAGTGGCTGAATTTCCACACCCAGAATGGCTGCCTGGTTGGGCCTCATCCCCAGTAGCGCCGTACACTTCATATCTATATTATAGATATGCTCTATGTTGCTTGACTATCGGATGCTTTACTCTTGTTTGTCAACGTGATTGCAAAGGTGTGAAGTGCAGCAATACTTGCTGGAGGATAATGTTTTTTTTTTTGTGGTTTTGCGATGTTGCATCTAAGAGAGTGTCGAGAGCAGGTCGACGCAAAGGGATTCTCAGGACACCAGGATATGCAGCGTGGCAAAGGGCGAGCGCTCTTACCACATTTTTTTCCAACTCTTGCAGGTGGGGAGCCAAGCTTCGCACATTGCCTTTTATTCTTTCAGACATTGGGTTGGCCTTGAGCAACACAACTTCAGTACCCCTTGCAGCACATGCTTGGTTTCCTTGCCTGGTCTTTTTCGCCGCGGCGTATACGCCCTCCTTTCCAGCTTCAGGCCAGGCAGTCGCGTGGAACTCAGCCATTTTGTGCCATGTAAATGAGCTGCCAACCTGTCGAATTGAAATTTGCTCGCTCAGGCCTATGCTGAAGAGTCTAGAATTGGAGGCGCCAGAATGTTGCAGACTCAGGAGCACGATATCTTGCCAGATGTTGGGCCACATATCTCAGCAGGTAGAGGAGGATGCAAGGGCTGAGGTCTATACAAAGATGTACAAAATATGCGCGCATGGAGATTGAACAAAGCAGCTATGCAAGTATTTCTGCAGCAAGACTAGTGAACTGCTATCTATGCAGCCACGGCGTTGTTTACATAACGTTGTGCCACCTAGTGCCCCGCAAAACAGCCAGCTTATGCCAAAATGTCAAAAACAGGCTCCAAAGCGAGCTGTGGTATACTTCAGCAGGAACATGTTTTTCCGGCTTACCGGGTTTTATAACATCTATGTGGATCAGCCCCCGGTTGGGTTAAGAAATTTCGCGTGGCCAGTGTGGGACGGGCAATTCTCAATCTTTTTTTTAGATTACAACTAACAATGAAACAAGGTTCACCAGCTTTGGAGGGAGGACATTTGACCGTGTGAGGTGACACAAGCATTTTGCAGGATTCTAGGGTCCCCAGGGTGAGAGGGTTGTCAATTTGACACTTTCAAAAAGAATAATCTTTATCCTAGCGGTCCTAGTAGTGGTGTATTAAGGAGGGGTTGAAAGTTTCTGTGCAGAAAAACGGCGTGCTCGGACAATATTAAATAGGCCTTTCAAAGAAGGTTCCCCCGGTCGCTGCTGCTGCTCCGTTGCTTTATGCTGCCCCCTTTCTGACCAGAAAATTATGGTCTTGCATGATCATGACACATGCACTCCTAAGATTCTTGCAGTCGCTTTCCTGCGCTCTCCACATTTGCTTTACAAAGCATTTTGGGAACATGTTCTTCGTTACTAATTCGTCAGTTTTTGGCTAATCTGACGGCAGGCCGACATAGCCTAACGCACACCAGACTCCCATCAGAAATGCGCTGGCCCATGCTGGTCCCATTCCGCTCACTTTCACGTTCATCGTCCTAGACCGGGGTGGGTGGACTTCAGTTTGTGAGGCTGAGTACTGACATGTGGCAATAGCGCCAGCGTGCCCAGGCTATGCCTACACACGAGCCGGTCAATTGGCTTCATCCTTACATAGTCCGACACAGCGCCTGTCAAAGGTGCTCAAGAGTATTCAAAAGATGAGACAAATGCGTAACCGTTGCAGTTGCAGCAGTCCGGCTTTAGCCTCATCAGCTCCTTGCTTCTGTGTCTCACCTTGGAAGATAACGTAGGTCATGGGTTGTGTGACGCACAACATGGTGACGCACCTCAGACAACCATCCCAAACCGGCATGGCCATTACTAAGGGTTTCTACGACCATCGGCCCTGAAGGTATCCGAGAGATTCCCAGGGTATCCGAAGGCCTAGATTAGTTTAGATATGTCTAAAATAGCCGACAGTTTGAAGTGAAGTGATGACGCCAGAGTTGCCAAGACTGTGCCTGGACTTGATGACCTTCTAGCCTTTGATGAGCTTAAAGAGGCAGATGCTGGCGTGACGGTTGGCTTTGCAAAATTAGCAAGCGAGCTGAAAAACCATCCTACTTAATGTGCCCGTTCATTGTGGTTTGAAGATGTTTGAAGAATTAGCATGCGCCACTACTCCACGGCCAGGATATTCTTTACGCTTGCCGTGCAAAAAGACGTCACTATAAAGTATGAACTCATATAAATGACAGGATTTCATGGACAGATTTGGCACAGCGGTCGAAACAGTTTTGCGTTGCATTTGTTGCCTTCCAGCTTTGTAGGCATTTGTTACTAGTAATTAGCTTCTTGCTACTAGTAGTAATGGCCTCCAACCTAATAGCGATGGCCTCCAACCTAGTAGCTTCTTGTTACTAGTAGCGATGCCTTCAACCTTGCAGCTTTGCAGGCACTAGACTCCCTGGGCATTCACCAGAGCACGCAGGCACAGTGACTGGAGCTTTCATACCATACTCCCTGCAGATGCACATATGTTACATGTTGGGCTAACTCACGCTCAAACACTGTGGGCCTCTCTACACCACAAAGTGGTGAGCCTTTCAAAGTCTTCAAGCTTCCGTTAGAGAGCGCTCACAAACACAGACATGATTTGTGGCTTCAATGTCAGGCCAAAAGCTGTAGTTTGTTCAGGTTCAGATGTGGAAGAATTTGGCTGCAGCGGCGTTCTGAGCAAAGGGCTCTCTTTGGCTTGATCGGGACAGAAGAGATGAAAGCGGCAAATTCACGATCAAACATCAAACACGATTTGAGACACTGCCTGGAGATTCAGGTTCTTTACCTGGGAAACTGTGAGTGCCCCAAGATATGGATTGCTATGTTTTGCTTAAATTCACCCAGAATGATACAATTCAGAGGTCGTTTTTCTAGTGAAGGAGAGGGGCCTGGAACCCAGTGGAGTTCTGAAGCGCAGTTACTGTATATACCGTATTGTGTTTGTCATGCGTTTGCTCGTGGTTGCCCTGCAGTGCGAAGCTTCAAGACAAAAAGCCCGTGCAGCGTGCATCCCAACTGCTTGGCCTTCAAGCTGAAGCTGGAGCCTTACAACTTACCCAGCTTCGCTTGCTTGCTCGTGTCAGATGAACTGGCTGAACTAAGGACTTGAAGAAATGCATGCTGGTACGAAAAATCACCGTAGGCAGGTTGCTTCCTTGTCAATTCCAGTAACAGGCTTGCACAAGCAGCGAGCTGCAGCCATCATTTTGCCAGGGAAAGATTTGGTGGAAACTCCCCAGCGAGAGGAACAGGCAAGAGCGGCGAGAGATAGTCTCAGCACCTTGCTGGCATTCTTTGGGTCTCGGTTCACTGCCACTGCTAGTTTCTTTCCGTGGACACATCAGAATTGAGACTTGCCCAGCAACATGCACAAATTCTGAGTGTTAACTTTGGCTTTGTCAATCGCTGTACCTACGAGTAGACTGTCATAGTATGAATTACTATGACAATGACAATGACAATATGAGCTCCCTTTGGTTGAAAGGACTTGACATGCTATTCACATGCATGGCCGAATGGAGCAAAGGCAAGTACATCTACTCTCAGTTATTTGCCTGGGCGGTGGAAACTCTCAACGAGACCCTGAAGGCTGGTTGCAAGACAGAAGCTGCTTTGACATCCAGTTATATAAACGTTTGACTTACACAGTGCGCATTGGCATTTGAGTTCAAAACAAAGTGCCAATATCTAGAACCTGAGTGACGACTTTCCGGATATGCTAGGGCCATTTCTTTTCAACAACTGTAGGCGAAGTCGGGTTCGTTCTTCTGACAGGTTGATCCATCAAGCAAGACCAGGACTTCCAATGAGTTGGCTCTGGAAGGAGCACCTGGCTGAACGCACTGGATTCTTGCATTACTTCAGGACTCATGAGACACAGGCCTTGGGCATCCTAGACATTGCAGCCGGCTCAAGCTGCACAGGAATATGGCTGGAGAGAAAGAAAGTGAAGAAGAAAGAGGGAGAGGGTCTCATGAGTAGTGCGAGGGCTTTCCTGCATTCCATACTACTAGCTACTTGTTGACTACTAGCTTCTTACCTCTTACTACTAGCTACTTATATTATCGGCCTACCTCCTACTAGCAGCCTACCGGCTAGCAGCCTACCGGTTTTGCTCCGGTTAGCGCCTGTCTTAGACATAGGAGACTTAGGAGGGAGTGCGGGAGCAGTCAGGGAGCAAAGTTGAAAGGGAACGCAGTACATGGATGATTCATCCAAATGAGGCTGGATTTGAAAGCAGGTTCCTTAATTCTGCAAAAGGACTGCAAAAGTAGGGGATGGCAGTGAAGGCCCAGTGGCTTGGTAGTTCTTTCCAAGGCTTCGAAAACAACTCCTTGGAGCAGCTGCTGATCAACCTATGCAATGCCAGCCGTCTCAGCTTCTGTAAGTCGGATTCCTTCCACTCTTTGGTCAAGTCAGGCAGGACTCAGAGGCATCAAAGGCATTTATACAGATCTCATTGCAGGAGCACCTTCAGCAATTCTTCAACACATTTGCAGCTTGGCAATGATGCTGTCAAAAACTTGAGATGTTTGAACACGTCAAAGCTAAAAGTTCATGACTTTTTGGGCCGTTCTAGCTGCTGCAGTTGTGGTTGCACGTGTGATTGACAGGTTTTTCGATCTGAGCTTGAAGACTACAAGAAAGAAGGCAGGATGGTAGGCTTCAGCGGTGGGAGTGAGGCCTGCATGTTTGGTATATTTCTAGGTTCAAACTTACACATTTAGGCAGATTCAAATTCATTGTGTGCTTTATCAGGCCCTAATTTTGAGGTCCATCATGCATCATGTTCTTGGGACACTGTGCGAAAGACAGGCGGGTCCTGACGTGGTCCTTTGGCAGTTCTGTGTTGCGGCAGGACTCGTGCTAGATTGCGAGGTCAATTTTGTAGACAATGCCGAGGTTGGAGAAACTTCAAACTGCACTCAAGCTTTTAGATCAAGTGAGCAAAATCGCTGACAAATGGATATCGTGACAAAGACTGAAGTGAGCTTCCTCAAGGTCCTTCAGCTCTTGGATGGCCGTGGAGGAGTGCTGGACATTCTGGATGAGGAGGTGGGAGAGCCACAGAGGATTCGATCAATTGAGAATTAAATAGCATCGGTAGATTTGATAGCGAAGATGGGAAAGGAGGATGCAAATTGTTGAACCAAGGGGCTTACGCAAGACTAAGGTTGTGATGCCCAAAGCCACCGACGACTCCTTCATCTCCAAAGTGAAGTCAGGTGAGAGACTTCTCCTGCAACATCCTGCAACCACAATATCTCTAGTAGCGTCCTTGCTCCTAGTAGCGATGCCCTTTGTTCCTAGTAGCTTCTTGCTCCTAGTAGTAGGGCCAGGAGCCCCTAGTAGCGTCCTTGTTCCTACTAGCAACCACAATATCTCTTCTTCTTTCTTTGTGGCTGTCAGTGAGAAGAGCCCGTGGGCCCTCTGGATTCAAGCATGCAAAAGGGTTGCCAAAATGAGCTGCCGCAGCTGCGCACACACACTTATGGATATGCATACGGAACTGAAAGCGGTGCCACAGCACCGCACTTTACTGCATTTCTCGGCAAATATTAAATCCAGCAGGTGCACAGAGCTGATCAGGCTCTGCTTCCCAGATGAAAGGTAGCTTTGTTAGGCGCAGTCCCTTGCATCTGCTGCGCCCCCCTGCTCAATACTAATCATTTTACAATTCAAAAGAAGCCCTGTGACTACAAGGGGCACACACACACGCCTCCCCGAGGGGAGGCGTAAAACTAAGGTGACGGCAAATGTACACGTGTGCGCGCGCGCGCCCGCGCGCGCGCAAGAGACAAAAGAATGAAGACAGGACAGGAGGACGAGACCGGACAAAGGTGCGTGTGGTTGTGATGAAAGGGGAACCAAGTGCACAGGGACACCCGATGAAGCCCACCTCATTGTAAAGACCTGGGCGACCTGAAGCCAGTGTTAAAGTGTAAGTAGAAGTGCACGTACACACTAAGGCCGGGACCAATGTGCGCGCAAACGAAGAAAAGGATGAAATGACCAGACATGAAGACAGGAGGACATGAAAGAAAAGAGGAAACAGAAGTGTGTGAAGGGGAAAGGATGAAAGGGGAACCAAATGGAGGGGACGAGAACCGATGAAGCCAAACCTCATTAGAAGCGCCTAGGGACCTCGCCTCGTTTGAATGTAGGCGCTGCGTGTGCGCCTGAGAGTGGGACAGGTTCCAACGAACCTCAAAAGTACTTTGACCGCTGTGGTCACCTTGTGCCCTGCCAAAGTGGCTGGCTGCTTTGACCGCTGCGGTCACGTAAAGGCATGAGCCAACTTGGAATTCAATAATTCGTCAAGTCTTGGCAAATAACTTTGGCGTAAGCCTCCTACGCCCGCTCTGGGCACGTACATCTCCGGGCAGGGGAGATAACGACAGACGCCCGTTCGACGGGTCCACGGGAGGCACTCTACGGGCTCATCCCGGACTGGCACGAGGCCAGACACACTTATGGATATGCGTACTGACTGACAGCGGTGCCACACGCCGGCCTAGGATACCATTTCCTAAGAGTACAAGTAAGAGCCACGGATCCTGGAGGTCTTCAAAAGGAGAAATGGCCCAAAGCGGAAGAAGCCAATCGACGATCACGGGTCGAACAAGATGACGGCGGTCCGTGCACATCTGCAAAACTCACTAGCACTTTACTGCATTTCTCGGCAAAAATTAAAAGCCAGCAGGTACACAGAGCTGATCAGGCTCTGCTTCCCAGATGCAAGGTAGCTTTGTTAGGCGCAGTCCCTTGCATCTGCTGCGCCCCCCTGCTCAATACTAATCATTTTACAATTCAAAAGAAGCCCTGTGACTACAAGGGGCACACACACACAGAGCCGGCTTGTTCCCAGAAAGATGTCACTAAGCGGCGCAAGTTGTCAGGAATTAGCGTGGAGTGTTCCTTTGTGATCAGAGGCAATCCACAATACGCAACAACAATTCTTCTCCACTCGGGCTCTCCAAAGTTTATCAAATCACACTTTGGGCAAGCTCGGGCAAGCAACGGCGGATCAAGGGAGCCTACTTACACGACAGCAACGATACCCTGAGTTAAAAGGAAACACGAAAACCATCGAACATGTCGTGTCGTGCTTCACTGTGCAAATTTATCACTTGCTTGAAGGGGGTTAATTTGTGGACTGCCCCTCCAGCAAAGCTCTTCTTTTGCAGATGTCATTTCATTTCGTTTCTTAGCGGCATCCTTTGCTTTTGTTTTTTGCCGCTTCAAGCTGTTGGTCATCTAAAACACGTTTCACTGTTCCACCGCATGCCTGATGTCATTGCACCAAGGCAGGCTCATTACGTCCCTTCCAGTTTTATTTTTCAACTTTGAAACAATATGCCAAGCGGATGCTTTGGACATCGCCAGTGCTCGATGCTGCAAGCAACAGCCCTATCTAGAGGTTTCCTTGTGGCCCAGTGGTTTCGCGTGCGTGGCAAGATTGTACAAAGACCCCAACGGTCTGGCGCACGCTATGTGAATCTCCGGCTCTCACGGTGGAATCTAGCTGCCCCTGGAGCAAACTGCGGGAGCCACCACAGATTTGCAATGACTTGCTTGCAACATCTTGCAACTAGCTCGCCCAGCACCGAACTAATAACCTGCCTGCGGGGCAGGACAAACTGCGCTGCTGCAGAAACAAGGTGACTACGGAACTACAGACCTGTAAAGGGGGCAGTACTGTACTTGTTTTCATAGTTGTATAAAACAAGGTAACGGGCTCCGAAACGGTCCCGCAACTTTTTGTGTTTTTTTCTTTTTCTGCATCAGTCTTCAAAGGAGTTACTGTATATGCGATTTTCTCAGCGTGTTTTGTTCTGTCTCTTGATGTACATCACTCCTAGCATGTGCAACGTTTGACATTGACCCGACCCCAACCCCCACCCCACCCCACCCCACCCCACCCCATGTTCTCACAAAGCAAATGAGTTCCGGAAAGTCCGCTCCGACCGTTACAGAACGCATTATATAGATTATATATAGCTAAAACAAAAGCATTCGTTTGACACATGGATGCAAAAGGTGCAAGAGGCTGAAGGGTCGACAATAATAAGAAATGTTTGCATGGTTGAACGAAAAGGTGTGCTTCTTCCGAACCTTTTCTGACTGCTTGCACTTTCCATCGAGGTCACACTCAGCATGCTTGCTTTGTGAAGCCCAAGGCAGGCAATCTCTTCTTCGGAGTCCAGGCCCCAGATGCTCCGAGCAACAAACACGGCAGTTCTACGCGGCCTTAAATCGTGAACTGTCATTACCTTTCATTGCAGAACTGCCCGCTACCCCTTACTTGTTTGACGCGATCACTTCTGAGGTCAAGCACTTTGCTGGTGAAGCAACAGTCTCAGCATTGACTCGGAATCCCTAGGACAAGTGAATAGTGTTGCTTGGGTCGGTTCACTGATAAGGCCTTCAGACGTGGTTTTCTTCTCAGGTCACCTACAACTGTGCAGGGTTCCTGCAGAAGAACGCAGACAAGCCACCTGAAGACTTCATTAAACTCATCCCTTCTTCAACGTTCCCTGCCAGCAAACTTCGGTGATGCGCAAGCCATCAGTTCATGACATCGTACATTGCCCTCAACTATATCAATTTGATGGAATGATCGAACATGTTGACATTATACATTCATAGATTCACAGATTGAAATCACCCCGTATGGTCTCATTATGCCGTTGCTTCGTTGCTATCAAGGCAAGAACTGCTCAAGCAGCTGGGCAAAGACTCTGAGGCAAAGGGCAGAGTGTATTGCACCAGCTTTGGTGGGGATTGGCCTGCGCGGGCAAAAGCTTGTAGTGGACAATTTGATTATACTTGATAGTTTACTATTCGTGTGATTTGCTTGACGTAGCGGCAAGTCGTTGTTGCAAGATGTTGCAAGGCCAAACCGACCAAGTGCCTTTGAGTTTCGCAACTAAACAGCCTCCAGAAACAAGGCTGCAGACCTGCCCGATGTCAAATCTCACAGGTCCAACCGAGCCAAACAAGCAAGTCCTCGGGACGAAAGCCCAAGTCCACCTCTGCGAAGTTACTTGATTACCATTTTTGCGAAACAGATGGTGAGTGTACCGCAAGAAAGAAGACGGACGGACAGACAGGGGTCTTTCAGTGATCATCTTTGATCCACCGCTATAGTCGCACTGATCAGCTAAGCATTTCTGACTGAGCAATGCAGGCTTCTGATTTCTTGGTACTTCAAATGAACCTGATTGAATCAAGTTATATAGTTCCCCAATAGCCATGCTATGGGGTCTTGCAAAACTAATAGGCGGACGGGCGCCGTCGGGTCACCGTCAGAGCTGGTGGGCGGATGGTGTCCCGGTCATGTTTTGATGGCGTCCGGGTCATGTGATGCTGGTGTCCCGGTCATGTTTTGATGGTGTCCCGGTCATGTTGTGATGGTGTCCCGGGCATGTTTTGATGGTGTCCCGGTCGTGTTGTGACGGTGTCCCGGTCATGTTTTGATGGTGTCCCGATCATGT